TTTGCAAAAAGCGATAAGGCTGAAACTGATATTCTTTTAAAGAAACTGATTTCAATGAGGTTCAGAGGCAAGGAAAGCAAGGAAAATATAAGAGAGTACATCATTGAGATGTCTAACATTGCTTCAAAGCTGAAGTTGCTAAAGCTCGAGTTGCCGGATGATTTACTCGTGCATTTAGTTCTTATTTCTCTTCCTCCACAGTTTGGCCAATTCTTGGTCAGCTATAATATGCAAAAGGAGAAATGGACTCTTAATGAGCTTATTTCACATTGTGTGTGCAAGAGGAAGAAAGGTTGAAGCATGGAAAGACTGATAGTGCTCATTTGGTAAACACCTCTAAAGAAAGGGGCACTAAAAGAAAGAATGAGGCTGCTAAGAATAAGGGTCTTTCTCAAAAGAAACAAAATAAAGTTCAATCTCAAAATCCTGAAAGTGGAGGTTGTTTCTTTTGCAATAAGGAAGGACATCAGAAGAAGGAATGTCCAAAATATCACACTTGGCGTGCGAAGAAAGGTACATTTCTAACTTTGGTTTGTTATGAGGTAAATTTGGCTTCAGTAGCAAGAAACATTTGGTGGTTAGACTCTGGTGCTACTACTAATATAAGTATTTCAATACAGGGTTGTCTGAGCTACCGAAAACCAAATGATGCTGAAAGATGCATTTATGTAGGAGATGGAAAATCGGTAGAAGTGGAAGCAATTGGGCATTTCAGATTGTATTAAGTACTGGTTACTATTTGGATTTAATAGATACTTTTGTTGTACCATCATTTAGACGGAATTTGGTTTCTGTTTCTTGTTTGGACAAATTGGGTTATTGTTGTTCATTTCAAAACAGTTGTTTCAGTTTATTATTGATTCCAATATTATTAGAACTGGTTCACTTATGGTTTATGACAATATTTATTTGTTTGATACTAATGCTTCTTATAATGAAACTCTGAATGTGGAATCACGTGGTACTAAGCGTAAAATTGAAAATGAAAATTCATGAGCATTATGGCACAAGCCTTTAGGTCACATCTCTAGAAATAGAGTTGAAAGGCTTGTATCAGATGGAATTTTAAGTTCCATTGTTTTTACGGACTTTAATGTTTGTATTGACTGCATTAACAGAAAACAGACCAAAACAAAGAAATTAGGCGCATATAGAGCTACAGGCATCTTAGAATTGATACATACAGATATTTGTGGGCCGTTTTCTATACCTTCTTGGAATGGTCAATAATACTTTGTATCATTCATAGATGATTATTCAAGATATGCATACATATTTCTTATTCATGAGAAGTCCCAAGTATTAGACGTGTTCAAATCTTATAAGGCTGAAGTTGAAAACCAACTAAGCAAAACAATAAAGCAAGTCAAATCTGATCGTGGTGGTGAATACTATGGCATATATGACGGTTCAGATGAACAACGTCCGAGACCATTTGTCAGATTCCTAGAGGAGTGTGGAATTGTCCCTCAGTACACAATGTTGGGGTCACCTAGCATGAATGGTGTAGCTGAAAGGTGAAATCACACTCTTAAAGACATGGTAAGAAGTATGATCGGTCATTCAACCTTACCAGAATCACTCTGGGGAGAAGCGCTTAAGACAACGTCCTACATTTTAAGTAGAGTACCAACTAAAGCAGCTGCAAAAACACCTTATGAGCTTTGGACAGGACGAAAACCTAGTTTAAAGCATTTTCATGTTTGGGGTTGCCCAGCTGAGGCAAGGCCTTACAAGCCACATGAGAAAAAGTTAGACCCTAAAACAGTGAGCAACTATTTTGTTTGTTATTCGGAGCGATCTAGGGGTTACAAGTTTTATGATCCCAAATTTAAGATAATATTTGAGACGAGAACTGCAATGTTCTTTGAGGATATTGAATTTGTGGGGAGAAATCAGGTTAGAGACTTTGTCTTTAAGGAGGAATCAGACCATACTACTCTTGTTGAAGAGGAATTGGTTCCTATTCCTATAATTGCTGTTGATAATGATCAGGATTTCACTCCTGTCATTGATCAAGTTGCGAATCCAGAACAAGACATTGTTAATCAACCCCTTGAGGAACAAATTCAACAACCTCAAGAACAAGCTCAAGAACAAGTGTTTTTGCGTCGATCCACTAGGGAAATATAAAATACTATTTCAGATGATTATATTGTATTTCTTCAGGAACATGAGGAAAATAATAGTATGATGGAATATGATCCTATCAACTTTCATCAAGTTATTCAAAGTTCCAATTTAGAAAAATGTATTGAAGCAATGAATGAGGAGTATAAGTCTATGCAAGACAATAAAGTTTGGGAACTTCTCATTGCCAGAAGGAAAGAAACCCATAGGTTGCAAATGGATTTTTAAAACCAAACGGGATTCAAAGGGTAATGTGGAGAGGTATAAAGCTCGCCTTGTAGCTAAAGGCTATACTCAAAAAGAAGGGATTGAAGACCTTCTCTCCAGTTTCAACAAAGGATTCTTTTAGAACAATCATGACACTTGTTGCTCATTATGATATGGAGCTTCATAAAATGGATGTTAAGACCGTATTTCTCAATGGAGACATTGATGAAACAATCTATATGGTGCAACCAGAAAACTTTGTGTCGGGAGATCCAAAGAATATGGTTTGCAAACTGACAAAATCTATTTATGGGCTCAAACAAGCTTCCCGTCAATGGTATCACAAATTTCATCAAGTGATTCTATCGTTTGGTTTTGAAATGAATGCAATTGATGATTGTGTGTATCATAAATTTAGTGGGAGAAAGCATATTTTTCTGATTTTGTATGTGGACGACATACTGCTTGCCACAAATGATATAGGCATGTTGCACGAAACCAAGAGATTTCTATCAATTAATTTCAAGATGAAAGATCTTGGTGATGCCTCATTTGTTTTAGGAATTCAGATTCACCGAGATCGTTCTCAGTGTATTCTTGGATTATCACAAAGAAGCTATATTGATAAAGTACTTAAAAGATTTGGCATGCAGAATTGTAGACCAATTGACACCCCTGTCGCTAAAGGAGACAAGTTCAGTCTCAATCAGTGCCCAAAAGGAAACCTTGAGATTCAAGAAATGCATAAGATTCCCTATGCTTCAGCTGTAGGGAGTCTAATGTATGCTCAAGTTTGTACACGGCTAGATATTGCGTACATTGTTGGAGTTTTAAGCAGATACTTAAGCAATCCAAGAATGGATCATTGGAAAGCAGCCAAAAGGGTTATGAGATACTTAAGGAGAACAAAAGATTACATGCTTACATATAGGAGATCAGACTATTTGGAGATCATTGGGTATTCTGGCTCCGATTTTGCTGGATGCCAAAACAGCAGAAGATCCACATCAGGCTATATTTTTCTGTTAGGTGGTGGAGCTATATCCTGGAGGAGTGCAAAACAAACACTCATAGCTTCATCCACCATGGCAGCAGAGTACGTAGCATGTTATGAGACATCCAACCATGATATATGGCTGAGAAATTTTGTCACTGAGCTGCGCATTATGGAAGGAATTGAAAGACCACTCAAGTTGTTTTGTGACAATAAATCAGTTGTATTGTATTTCAATAACAACAGGAGCTCAACCAAGTCAAAGCATATTGACATCAAATTTCTTGTTGTCAAGGAAAGAGTACAAAGTGGCCAGATTCACATAGAGCATTTAGGAACAAACTCCATGATTGCGAACCCCCTTATAAAGGGTATGATGCCCAGGGTCTTTCATGAGCATACTGCTCATATGGGTGTTATAGAGCTTATGAGGGAATTTAGATTCAGTGGGAGTTTGTTAACTTGTGTTTTATAGTTTTATGTTTCATTTTGTGCACAAAATATATTTGGATATTTTCTTATCAGAAATGATGTATTTTATTCAGTTCAGTGTACTCTGTACAGTTATGGTTCTATCTCACTTAAGTAAAGTAGGACCAGTTGAAAATTGACATGGACAGACCATCTTGCATGTAATTTTCATTCCACACATTCATGATTGATCTATGTCATTTGATTATATTGATATATGTGACCATTGATGGGTTTAGTTGTGACGGATACAACGAAGACTACTTTGATCCTGTATTGATATAATTAATGGTCTTTATAATGATGATGACAAAATTTTAGGCGCACAAAGGTTGACACATTTATCTTATACATATGTAGTCCAGTGGGAGATTTTTGAATTAATTTTGGGACTACAATGTAATTAATAAATGTATTGAGTCATCATTTAATAAGTCAAAATTATTGTGGTCTAATTTGAAATTAAGTTTATGACTTTTGGCACATTTATCTTGATATTATAGTGTGAATACCATAAGTATAAATTCTAATTTGATGAGGGGCGGAATTAGAATTAAACAAAACTTTTTTGTAACCGTCTGGTAGTTACTTCAAAGGGTAATGGTCCTCGATTTGCAGAGAGACACATCCTTTTTTTGCACCCCATTAACAAGAAACTAAAGAAACTATAGAAAATCTGCAGATTGGAAGATCATACCTTTTGCAATCAATTGATTTCGGTACGCTTCCGCTAATCTATGGTTTATTTCTCTTGAAATAGAATATGATTTTTTTTTAGTCCGAACACAAACTGCCTAAATGCCCTTAGGTTATTTACACTCATGCCATGTAAATAACTATATAAAGAGCAACTCTATAAAAATTACGTGTAATATATTAATAATTTACACTGTCAAAATAAAAATCAAAATTTTAAACAATGGACGCACACCAATTCTAATAAAATTATAGACTAAATTTGTATAAGAAAAATTTGTCAGAACAAGATGAATTTAAAAGTCTAATTATTCTAAGATTAGCCCCTATATAACAAATTTATGACATTACTAAATTTAATATAACAATTTTTTTTTTAACTCAGATATTCAAACACATTTTTTATTTTTTTAACCAAAAAAAAAAAAAAAAAAAAAACAAACCCCTCGTCCCGCAGCTTCCGCGCCCCATTGTCACGTCGGTAACCGTTTGAAGTGGGATAATGGACGCGAATAGGCCGGAGAGCTCCAAGCCACTCTTTTTAAAACATCACTGCTCTCTCACTCCTCCTATAGGGTTCAATAACTCAACTCAAGAAGAAGAAATTGCCATACAAATGCACGGCGGGGACTGCGGCGGCGGAGCTCTGCTCTGCAGCGGGAATGAAGTACTCCCGGCAACGGTGGCGGCGCCGTTGATAAGAAAAGGACCATGGTTAGTCGAGGAGGACGCCGTCCTCATGGACTACGTCGCTAAGTACGGCCCGCACGACTGGAGCTCCATTCGATCCAAAGGTCTTCTTTTCCGCAGCGGCAAATCCTGCCGCCTCCGCTATGTCAACAAGCTTAAGCCTGGCTTGAAATCGTAATTCATTTATCTCACTACAAAGCTCACATTTTTAATCCATTTATTTTAATCTTTTCTTCATTTGGTGGCTTATGTGAATGATCTGTTCTGATATTTCTGATTTTCTTTCTGCGGCATTACTTGCTGGTGAAGTGGATGCAAGTTTTCTGCGGAGGAGGAGCGAGTTGTGATCGATTTGCAGGCGAGGTTTGGGAACAAATGGGCCCGAATTTCGACTCATCTTCCTGGTAGAACGGACAATGATGTCAAGAATTTTTGGAGTATTCGGCAGAAGAGATTGGCTAAGCTCCTGCAAACTTCTTCTCCTGTTAGACCACTTATTAAGCAGAGGAAGGTATGGCGGCTGAATAAAAAAGAAAAATTTACGTACATACCGCATAATTCTTTGCATTTGAAAGGTTTTTTAATTTTGTTTGAGGAAAATGAGTTCTTTGGATTTGAAAGGTTTATAGAGTTTATAAACCCGGGTTGATTTCTTAGCAACAAAGAGCAATCCGCCAATCTGGTAAAAAAAATTGCTCTTTTTTACGAAATTGCATGGAAAGCTGTAATATTCAAGAATCTGTTCTTTGAATTTTAAATTTTCATTCGAGTAGACAAGTCGACTAGAAAATTAGCCGTTAGTTTCGAAGGTTCTAATGCTAGTTCATTACATGGAAATTGTCGAGCAAGTTGGTTTCAGTAATTAATGAGGCCTGTTTTGTTAGATAAAGTCTAGTTGATTATGAACTTCAATCATAAATAGTTTCATATATTTAAAGGTTCTCTTCGCTCTATAGATTAGTATTATTACTATAATTAGCATTATAGACTTGTTGTTAATTATTTTAGCACTTATACTTGGTTTATCCTGCAGGCAAATGGTAATTCAGATTATTATCCGTATAATGTTCCTCAATACCCAAACAGTGAGCACATGTATGAACCCTATTATGAAGGTCCAGATGCCATGAAAATGGTTGTGATGCCCAATAACCCTGAAGCAAATCTTCCCCAGATCGAGCCGGCCATTAACGCTCAAGAGCCGTGCTTGCAGAGCAGCAGCCCACCTCCTCCATCTCCATTCGATAACTTTCTCGACCTCCCTTTACTTTCAGATGGAGAAGATCTCATCATGCAGGAGTTAGGCGAAATGAGCTTCCCTGATCAGTTTGACTGTGTAGAGACCTCGTTGACTTTGTTTGACGAATTTGAAGTTGAAGATAGTGGCATCAGGAGAGAGCATTTGGGGACACCTGAAAGCTTCTTCGATGATTTTCCTGCT